ATTCACGAGAGCAATTAGTACCGAAAAATGGATTACATCGCAGTGTTTAGAGTTTTTCGATGCAAGTGAGTTTCGCCTCACTATACCTATGGGTCGAAGGCACCAATGTCGGCCCACTAGTTTTGGTTATCTTTAGTAGAAGGATTCCATAACGACTGTATATATTCATGTAGGATAGACTGTTGACTCTTGATCTAGGCTCTTTTACCTGTTCCTTGTTTGGTTGTGGTTCTTGAGTAGGATCTCCTGTCCGGGTCTCTACCTTACCTCTGAGTATATACGATTGTATGTTCCTTGGATTTTTGGTATTTAGTATGTTGCCATGATGTAGGGATTTGTTAGATATGTATCCTAGTATATAGGATATTGCTATACGGTAGTGATCTGTAGATCTGTATGTCTATCTATATTTGATGGTAATCATCTAGTGGAGTACCATAAGGACTATGTGTGGTCATGTAGGATAACCTGAGAACTCTTGTTCTAGGCTTTCTTACTTGTTCCTTGTTTGGTTGTGGCTCTAGAGTAGGATCATCTGTTTGGGTGGCTATCTCACCTCTGGTTACTTATGGTTACACACTTCATAGAGTTTAGTTGGTAGTAAGATAGTGCATGGTGCGAGGACTAGTAGGAAGTAGTGATTTGTATGATTGATGTTTTCTTGTATTATGTGCCTGCTTGATACTTGATTGTTTATATGTCGACATATAGTAGTATTGGGTTGAGGCGGTCCTGCCTTTTGTTGTATGCCAAGATACCCAGTGCAGGCCGATTGTAAGCCCAAGACACGAAGGCTCGAAAAGAGCGGTTGGGTTGAGGCGGTAGGCCAACAAACCTTGGGCATTCCAGTCCATGGCTGATTTGACCCGCTGCATGTTGACATTCCATTCCAAGGACTGATTGAGCCTGTGTATTCCAACCAGGAGGTTGTGGGCCGTTATGCATGCTTGTATGTTTATCATATGAGGTATTTTGGGGGAAAATCACTAACCTTTATGCTTATCCAATTACTTATTATGTCAGGCATCATTCGTGGCTATGGGAAGACGAAGGCAAGACTGTACACACTCATCAACAACATTGGGGATTTCACGTTCATTATAATACTATTATGTTTTTTTAAATAATTTTAGTTGGGAACGTATGGTTTTTCTTAAAATGGTTTTATAATTGGGAAGTTTTACTATAATTAAAATGAAAAAATTTGACCGTGAAAATGGAACGGTATATATATATAATATATTATATATATATATATATATATATATATATATATATATATATATATATATATATATATATAGGGAAAAGTGAATATACCTAACAACCTTATATAAGCTTAGGTACCTAACTCCATAATACTACATCAGTTTGTATCATATTTACATTGTAATTGTCTAAGGTTCTTAAACTTCAACCCCATAACTTTATTACTTCCAAAATCTTTGGACTTTCACCATTATCTTTCTTTTACATCACGTCCTTTTATTGAATATCGTCTGATAGACTTCATATCCTACTGCTACAAATGAAATGATGTAGGAGAAATATAATGATGAATTTCCAAATTTTTTGAAGTAAATCAAGTTTAGGGATAAAGTTTAAAAATCTTGCATGATTGCAATGAAAATTTAATGCAAAATGACCTAGTTTGATGAGGTTAGGTACCTAAGCTTATATAAGGTTGTTAGGTATATTCACTTTACCCATATATATATATATATATATATATATATATATATATATATATATATATATATATATATATATATATATATATATATTTATATATATATAGATCCGGTAAGAAATTTTTTTTGGTAGGAAGGTAAGACGTTTTTTTCTACATATTTTTTTGACGAACAAAATAAATGAATCACTAAATGATTCATTTGTAAGATGATTCACAAGAAAAAATTCCCAAAAAAATATCTTTATGACTCATTTTTAAGTAAATTAAGAAAAAATTCATTTTTATGACAATTTTAGTGAATAACAACAAAATCATTGTATAAATGAATCATCGAGTTGTTTTTTTGAGAATTTTTTGTTGTGAATCATCTTACAAATGAATCATCTAATGATTCATTTTGTTTATTCGCGAAAAAAATATGTAGAAAAAAAACTTCTTACCTTCCTACCAAAAATTTCCTTCTTATTTGATCTTGACTATATATATATATATATATATATATATATATATATATATATATATATATATATATATATATATATATATATATATATATATATATATATATGGGTAAAGTGAATATACCTAACAACCTTATATAAGCTTAGGTACCTAACCATATTATACTACATTGTTTTGCATTATATTTCCATTGCAATCGTCTAAGGTTCTTAAACTTCAACCCTTAACTTGATTTACTTCCAAGATTTCACGATTGGTCCCTGTGGTTTACACAATATCGCACTTTGAGGACTTTCTAGCAAAAACTCACGCGAATGGTCCTTAAGGTTTCATTTAATTGCGCGATTGGTCCTTGACCCTAACCCCGTCATTTTTGAGCCGTTAGTGAAGGGGTAAATTTGTCTTTTCATCTTGCAGTCACTCTAATAATCGATCATTATGCACATATACGCATGAACTCTGTAATTAAGTACAAAGATCATCTTCCTCCTTCCTCAGCTACCCATTACCCTTTCGCATTCATCTTCGTCTTCTCCAACAGAACACAAGGCAGAGGATCATCTGTCGATTGAAAACGATAATGGTGTTAACGTTATGGTCACTTCGTTCCAAACACACTAAAGCATCAAATTATGATTTGGAAAGGATATACCGTAAGTGACTTACTAAAGTGATCTTTGATTTTCTCGATTTGATATTATGCCCAAATTGTTGAAATTTTTTTTGTTATTCTTTATTTCAGAGGGAACAAGCAACTATTTCACTCTGAAAATCCATCATGGTGGGATATTCACGAAAAGCCCTGGGAGAAGGTACGTAGATGGAACAATAGACTATGTTGACTTCGTAGATATTGACGTATTCTCTGTGCATGAGTTGGATACAATGGTTCGAGAAATAGGGTACGTAGAAGGGCAAACTTTGTATTATCATTTTCTTATTCCAGAAGTCGAGTTGGACTTTGGTCTGTTACCTCTAGGAAATGATGGGGATGTGCATGTATTGTCAAATTATGTGGAAAAAAATAACCTTTTAAGTATCTACATAGAGCATGGGCACACAAGGGTTAACAGTTATTTTTTGTCCCCCACCAAGGTTATTATTGAGGAGTTGGTTACTGATGTATCCCCTGAACTAGATAGGAACCAAAAGAAGGGAAAAGTTGTTGGGTCTTCTAGGAAAAAATTAGACTACTCCCAGTCCATTGTGCCATATGGAACATTTGATGGACCTTCACAAGTGATACAGGATAGTGAGCCAGTTATGGATGATGAGCCAGTTATGACTGATGAGCCAGTTTTGAATGATGAACCAGTTATGACTGATGAGCCAGTTTTGAATGATGAACCAATTATGAATGATGAACCAGATTTGAATGATGAACCAGTTATGAATGATGTACCTGTTATGAATGATGTGCCAATCATAGATGACCAATATGATGAGCCAGTTATGAATAATGATCCAGTTGTAGATGATGAATATGATTGTGGGATAGTGCAGATGAAAGTGATTTTGATAGTCAGCATGATGCAAAAAAATAGTGTTTGATGAGGAACCTTTGATAGATGATGTGGAGGTGAACATGATCAACTTCTGTAGTGTACTTGATGAAGACATTGACTTGGGCCAGCTTGATCCGACAAACAATAATACTAAGGAAAAGGAAGACATTGAAGATGAACGTTTAGAAGTCTTAGACAATGATGTATTTGAGTCATTTGCTAGTGAAAAAGAGCCTAGGAAGAAATTGTTAAGGTCCATTCTAAAACCAGTTGCTTGTTCATCTGGTGAGGTTCACACTAAAGCTTTTAAGATTGGTCAGACGTTCAAGGAAAAGGAAAAAATAAGAGAAGTTATTGCCAACTACTCTGTAAAAGAAAGGAGGGATCTACATTATGTAAAGAATGACAAGACAAGAGTTAGGGTAAAGTGTAGGGGTATTGTTCCTGAATTGACTGGTGACAGTAATAAAGATAGGGGCAATTTAGTACTTTCCAAGAAAACAACTTGTCCATGGGTTCTTTTTATATCTAGGGCAGATGAGAAACAACTTTGGACTGTCAAAACATACGAAGATTCTCATTCTTGTTTGCAAACAAGGACAGTGAGGGCTTGTTCATCTAAGTTTCTAGCTAACAACATATTGCATCAAGTTGAAAGTAACCCCAAGATCCCTACACGTGCTTTACAAGAGGAGTTAGTACAGAGGTATTCACTTTCAATATCAAAGATGAAAGTATTTCGGGCCAAAGCTATGGCAAAACAATATGTTTATGGTGATTATGAAAAGCAGTACGGTGTTTTGAGAGAATATGCCATGGAATTGAAGTCAAAGAATCCAGGAACAACTGTGAAGATAGATGTCGAAACTGAACCCAATGTGTCTTCTGAGACAAGGATCTTCAAACGGATATATATATGCTTAGGTCCATTGAAGGAGGGATTTAAAAAAGGTTTGAGGGATTTTCTTGGATTTGATGGTACGTTTTTGAAGGGTCCCTTTCCAGGACAAATTCTTACTGCAGTTGGGCTTGATTCGAACAATGGCATTTACCCAGTTGCATATGCCATTGTAGAGACTGAAAATATTAACTCTTGGACATGGTTTTTGGAACACTTGGGTGATGACTTAGATTTGAATTCTTCATCTAACTTCACTTTCATTTCAGATCGGCAAAAGGTACCCTCTAACTTTTTATTCACTTTTACTTTTTTTTATTATTTCATTTACTAACTTATTTTAATTGTACTCACAGGGAATCTTGGCTGCAATAGAGAAGTTATTTCCATCAGCTGAGCAAAGGTTCTGTTTAAGACATGTGTATCACAACATGAAATTGAAACACAAAGGAGATGAATTGAGGGAAGCAGTATGGTGTTGTGGAAAAGTATACAACATACCAAAATTTAATAGGGCTATGGAGAAACTGAAAAAGCTTAACCCAGAAGCACATGAGTGTTTAAGTAAAATTCCTGCAAAACACTGGGCAAGATCCCATTTCTCTGGTAAGTATCATACTCTTTTCACTAACATATTTCATAACTGATTTCAGTAATTAATTGTTTGGTTTTATATATAGGAAGGGCATTGACTGATAGTTTAACAAATAACTTGTGTGAGGTATTTAACTCCAAGCTAGATGAGGCAAGGGACAAGCCTATAATCACTTGTTTGGAATATATTAGAGAATACCTCACAAAGAGAATAGTAAATGTTCATAAGGTGCTAGATAAATGCAAAGGTTCTCTAAGTACAACTGCAACAACAATCTTAGAAAACAATAAGACAGAGGCAAGTAAGATGAGGGTTCTATTTAATGGAGCTGATAAATATCAAGTGACTGGTTATGGATGGAGCAGTATGTTGTGAATTTGAAAGAGAGGAGTTGCACTTGCAGGAAATGGGACATTACAGGTATTCCATGCCAGCATGCTATTGCTGCAATGTATGATAAGATGCAGAATGGGTCAGAATGTGGAGATCCTGAGGCTTGGGTGAGCAAATGTTACTGGCTCAGTACATGGAATGCTATGTACCAACACACAATTGACCCAATAAATGGAAGGAGCATGTGGCCTAGATCTGATTGTCCAACAACCCTTCTCCCACCCAAACATCACAAACAGGTTTGTTGTCATACATGTTTTGTTTAATTTAACTTGAAACTATTTAATAAACTTGTTAATATGTAACCATATGAATTTGTTTATAGGTTGGTAGGCCAAAGAAAAAAAGGAAGAGGGCAGTTGATGAGCCAACTCAAAGTACCAAGTTAAGTAGGAAACACTTGACAGTCACTTGTAGCAAATGCCACAACAAAGGTCACAATGCTAGGACTTGCAAGGGGCAGGGAGGTCCTAGTGAAGCTGGATAGGGGGGTGGACAAAAGAAGGGAAAACATGTTGTAGCTTAGTTTGTATTTCTAAGTAATCTTTTGCTATTATGTCTAATTAAAGTTAGAACATGTTTACTAAGTTTGGTTATGGTATGTCAGTCAAAACAACTACTTTTGATAGGTCTTTTGGGTATTCTATGTTTGTAACATGATATTACACTTACATGCATTATGGTTAATGGTAATGCTACTTTGGTAATTAGTTTTTTGGCTATGTTACTGCACTTTAATAATCAACATTACACTTACATGCAATCAAATTGACAATTTCCTTCCTTGCTAATATAATATCCATCACATTAAAACAAAACATCAAACTTACATTACATATTATATCTGTTACATTTTCTTGTCCCAACATTACATACAATCATAGGGAAAATCCTTCAAAAGCTATGACAAAATGGGACCAAAAGACAGATTCCAAGTTATAGATTCCCCCCCCCCCCCCCCCAATGCTTCTTGATTTTTTACTTGAAAAGGTAACACACCATGAAAAACAACCAACTCAGACAAAGTAGCCATTTCACCATCATCAATCTTGCTTCGAGATTGTTTCTTCCACGCAACAACCCTGGAATCACAACAGTTGACCTAGGGCACATGGGAGGGTCGAACCATCCAAAAAAGCTGCATGTTCCTCCTAACCTTGAGCATGACCAAAATCGACGACCTGGGTTCAAGTCAGTCCACGATGTCACCAAAATCGCCGGCCTTCCACAGTGGCATATCACCATCTTCTTCAATTTTGGAATAGAATGTGAGTAGGGAGGGAAGAACAGAGGTAAGGAACGAGAAGTAGAAGGATACAAAGGCGAAACTTAAATTATATACTCTGATGCACAACAAGATGAAAAGACAAATTTACCCCTTCACTAACGGCTCAAAAATGACGGGGTTAGGGTCAAGGACAAATCGCGTAATTAAATGAAACCTTAAGGACCATTCGCGTGACTTTTTGCTAGAAAGTCCTCAAAGTGCGATATTGTGTAAACCACAGGGACCAATCGTGAAATTTTGTCTATATATATATATATATATATATATATATATATATATATATATATATATATATATATATATATATATATATATGGGTAAAGTGAATATACCTAACAACCTTATATAAGCTTAGGTACCTAACCATATTATACTACATTGTTTTGCATTATATTTCCATTGCAATCGTCTAAGGTTCTTAAACTTCAACCCTTAACTTGATTTACTTCCAAGATTTTCAAACATTCACCATTATATTCCTCCTACACCATTTGATTTGCAACGGTAGTATATGAAGCCCACTAGGGGGTCTCCGATAGAAAGACGTCATTTGAAGGAAGATAATGGTGAAGGTCCAAAGATTTTGGAAGCAATCAAGTTATGGGGTTAAATTTTAAGAACTTTGGGTGATTACAATGCATATATGATACAAAATTACGTAGTATGATGTGGTTAGGTACCTAAGCTTATATAAGGTTGTTAGGTATATTCACTTTACCCATATATATATATATATATATATATATATATATATATATATATATATATATATATATATATATATATATATATATATATATATATGAACGGTATAACCTTTTATTATTTATGTGTAATGTAAGCGTCTTTCTTTATCTAATACAAATAATAATTTTAAAATTTTAGAAGCAAAAAATCTAACACAAAGTTAATAATTTTGCTAACTTAAGAAACAAATTTCATACTAGAAAAACACATTACTTCTGATTTATAAAAATATGTAAAGTGCATCTTTAAGAAATATGGATCAACAATTGGATTCTAATATGGATCCAATTTTTTTTTTTTTTTAATATGGATTTGAAGAACGTGTACAACAACTGAATGTAAATGTTTTTGTGCAAAATATTTATACATATTTTCTAAGGCCGTGTTCATAAAAAGTAGTTTGTAATGGATGACATCGGTTTGTTTAAGCTAAATGCTAATAGTTTATAGTATCAAACGAGACTTTCTATTCAAAATGTAAGATTTTATCAAAACGTTAGAAGATAGAAGCTTTCATACCTCCGTGCCCAACCCATCCTAAAAAGAGTAAAGAAAACAATGATTACTTACTAAACATGATTATTAAGTAACACATGTTTACATTTTAGTCAAAAATACACACAAACTCACATGGAGATTACAACAATAACTTCAAAACTGAATACGGTTTGTTGATTGTTTTTTCTAATATATATATTTGAAAAAAGAACTTCTTAATACAAGAGAAACATTTTTCAAAATCATAAATAGCTAACACGTTGATTTTATATAAAAACTTCTATAAACCAAAATAAATAAAAATATTTTAAAAGATAACTTCTTTACCATCTTATAAAACTTTTTAAAAAGAACACAAGTTTTATGATAGTGTAATTTTATATACTAATACTTCATTTAAATATTTGAATCAAAGTTGAATAACTATTATCATTCAAGATTATTATGAAAACAAATTTAGATTCCACTATAATCAAACATTTTCGACTCATTTACATTCAACACATATGAGTTGTGAATCATGGACTCATTGCAATATATAACAAGAATTGAAAATTGAAATATTATATATACGGTACAATGTTTCAAAATGAAATTTTAAAAGGTTATAAATGTAAATAAACTAATGGTTTTGTTTGTGACGTGGCCCACCACCGTATTTTTGCAAAGAAAAACAGAAAATGCCCTATTTTTGTAGATGATTTTGTATAAAAAATTATTTATTTCAACTACCTTATTCTATTCAAAATTCTCCTATAAATTCTACTCGAAACATTTCCGATCCATGCTCCATTTCCATTCTTACCGAGAATTTTATGATAATGGCGATGAGGGTTGATTACAGCATCATCATCACTTCCGCCATTATTGTAGCTGCTGCTTCTATGATCATGAGTTCAACAACCGCAGCAACAACAGTTCCAGCAGGACTCATAAACATCGTGAATTTGGGAGCCATAGCCGACGGAAAAACAGACTCAACCCTACCATTTCAATCTGCATGGGCTTCTGCATGTTCATCATCTAAACCAGTCACTATCTACGTCCCCTCCGGCAGGTTTTTCATCAGATCAGCTTATTTCCAGGGCGAACGCTGTAGTAACAAAGCAATCAACTTCCGTATTGATGGCACCCTTCTTGCTCCGACAGACTACGGGAAATCCTCTAGTGATGTCTGGATTAAGTTTGAAAAGGCCACCGGAGTTTCTATCTCCGGTGGAACTTTAGATGGTCGTGGAACCGGTCTGTGGGCTTGCAAAGCCTCTTCAAGTTCTTGTCCAACCGGTGCAGCCGTAAGTTTCATGCATTTCCGAATTTATTAGTTTATGTTTCGACTTTCTACTAAATATTCATTAATCAATGGGTGCATATTGCAGACGTTAGGGTTCTATAATTCAACAGACATCGTGATCAGTGGATTGAGCTCCATAAACAGTCAAAAGTTCCACATCGTGATGGACGGATGCCAAAACGTTAAACTTCAAGGAATCACGATCTCTGCTCCGGGAAACAGTCCCAACACCGACGGCATACACATTGAATTCTCCACCGGTGTCACTGTTCTCAACTCCCGAATTGCCACCGGAGACGATTGTGTATCCATCGGACCAGGTTCATCTAACCTCTGGATACAAAATATCACCTGTGGCCCTGGCCATGGTGTCAGCATCGGCAGTTTAGGGTGGACTGCACAGGAGGCCGGAGTCCAGAACGTCACGTTGAAGACGGCGACATTTAAGTCAACGCAGAATGGGGTTAGGATCAAGACATGGGCTAGGGAAAGTAATGGGTTCGTAAAGGGAGTTGTGTTTGAAGATTTAACTATGGTGCAAGTTCAAAATCCGGTGATAATCGATCAGAATTATTGTCCGGGTGTGCATGATTGTCCACATCAGTTGTCCGGCGTCACCATTTCTGATGTTCTATACGAAGATATTCGTGGCACATCAGCGACAGATGTTGGGGTGAAACTGGATTGCAGCAAGGAGCATCCATGCAGTGGGATAAAAATAGAGGATGTGAATTTGAGTTATGATAACCGACCTGCTCAAGTTTCATGCACCAATGCTCTTGGAACCACCGGTGGTGGCGCTGCCGCAGTAATCCACCATACAACCTCTAGTTCCTGTTTAATGTAACACAAATGATCCATGCATCAATATACATGGGAATTGATATATATTTATAATTGTGAGAACTTTGATAACATTTAATAGGCTTAATTTGTAACTTATATCGGATTGCGATAATACGTTAAAATTTCTTTGTAACATGCATCATAAATTAATAGACTAAATTGGTGTTTACTGTTTTATATATATATATATATATATATATATATATATATATATATATATATATATATATATATATATATATATATATATATATATATATATATATATATATACTTTCTTATAAAAGAAATCTAACTATTTCTAAAAATAGATCGAATATAAAAATATTATTGTTTGAAGACGTCCAAACCATTAAGCTACTGGTACAAGTGATCATTAATAAAATAATATTAAATTTTAACCATGTTCTTTTAATCCTTATAAATCTGTTCTTTTAATCCTTATAAATCTGATCTTCTTTCCTTAATTCAGGGTTCATTCAAAATTTGAAAGCCTTCTCATCCAAATACACTTCACCAAATATCTTAAATTCTGCATATATTGACCTGCTCTTCATCTTCACCCAATTGAATCGTTTAATCCGAGATCCATAAACCCTACCCAAACTCGATCGTCGTTGCCATTATAACCAATCAAGACCTTCACGGCATCACCCATCATCCAAACATCAGCCACCATCACTGATGTCCTAGGGTTCGCCATACCCATCGTCACCACCATCCACTATCTGTAAATCCTCAAAATCTTGCTGCTAGAGTATTTAAGAGTTTATCGTTTGGGTTGCTTGCTCTGATATCTGCTTTACGTCAACATTTTCATCCTATTTACACTTATTAGTTAACATTTGGTGGTATTTAGTTTGTAGTTTACAACGTGAATTGAAGGTCACCCTGATAACTCCTTCTAAAAAAGGATATCAACGATTTCGATTGTTCTTGAGCGGTCTCTCTCTCTCTCTCTCTCTCTCC